ATATTTTAAAACGAATTTATTCATACAATTATAAACATCATAAGTATCAATTTTCCAAATCAAACCAAATATCAACATACAAATTATTTATTAGACTCGATCAATCTCGATATATTTATTGATATCAGACTATGACAAGTTTTTGCATTTGTAGTGGTGAAACAACTGACCCACCTCAAATTATCACACAAGACTAATCCGTCTACCACTTATGGACAAAGAATACCAAACCATAGACTAGAACCTCAACCTCTTGCTACTCCTCACCACATAATCTCATTCTCTATCTGAGATAAAACGATTATTGGAGCGTCAAGATAACTTCCAAAGCTGAGTCCCTAACCACCTACCTGGAATTACTATCAAGAATTTCTCCTAGAAACTCTTTTCAAACCACACTTGGAAACATACATAACTTCATGCATAAAACCTCATAAAAATTCCTTTGATACTACTATACAATCCTTACATTATCATTACATTACCATCCATACGAAATAGAAAAGAATAAAATAAAAGAAATCAACCCACACAACGCCCTAACAAAAGTTAAATTTTAAGTTTTCGTTTTAGAGATAATTGATTATCACACCCGATAATCAATTATTCTAGAGAAAATTCATGCAAAGTTGATCTTCGAACTGCAATAATTGATTATCATATGTGATAATTGATTATTCTTGTCAATTTTTTATAACAACCTGATTTTTCTGGTTTTGATGCAGCTTGGACCTATCCAAATGACCAATTTGGGATCTTTAACACTAAGATTAATACGAAAACATGTTTATAGATAAAAATAGAGTATCACATTGCTCATTTAGTTAGCAACTAGACGCACCAAACCAATTCAACAACTCAAAAGTACCTAAAATCAATTCTACACATTCTAAACCAGAAATTTGCAAACTAAAAGTTTGAACAATTAACAATGGAGCCAATAACATATCTCAAATCCTCATTTTCATCACAAACCCTATACTTTAGATTTTCTTTAGTTAGAACTTCTAAAATGAACCAAAAACATGACAAAACTCAACATATCAATCTAATTACCAATTCCACCATAGATTTTTACTTAACTCAACATCTAAACAAGTTTAATGTAATCAATAGACCTTAAGCCTCAGTTTTTCCTATTCAATCATTATTTCAAAATTTTATTCAGAAAAACCTTTATTTTTACCCAAAAACGACCTTAAATTCTATCTATTCTCTAACTGCAAAACAAAGTCATTTATTCCACTGAATAATACTCCAAAACAACATCCTCACATAATCCAAACAAATACAATCAACTACAAATATGTCATACCAACATACATCAAAACAACCAAAGATCAACAAGTATTTTGCACAATTACAACATGTTCATCAATAGATCATTCAATAACCAAAACTAATACATATCATAAATGAATCATCAAATTAAACATAAATTTCATTACACATCAATAATGAATACGAACTCAAAATTTCTACACCAAATTTAAAACAAAGTTAGCTTCCCTTACGTGTTTAGAAAGTTACTACAACTTTAAGAAACACACTACCCCTATCTCAACTCAAAGAACTCTGAAAATACTTACAAACCATAGAATCATGATCAGAAGAGGTCCTTAGGACCACTGATCGACACATAACAAGGAAGAATGATCAGACGACACATGCGACATCATATCTAAATGTGTCTTAAACAAAAAATTAAAGAAAAAGGAGTATAATGTAACTTACTCTATAGAGAAAATTGATCAAATGATGTTATAGACCTCAATGTAGTGATCGTATAAATACATCCAAATCTTCAAATAAACATACGAAGAGTAAGAAATCTTAAAGAAAAAAAAGAAAAAACTCATTACAAATATAAAATAAAGAAATAAATAATTACATTTAATACATATTAATTACTTAAACATATTAATTAGTTAAACTATCTAATCTTTACTTTCATTAATAAATATATACATAAAATCAAAGTAAATATCCTTTTTTTAATAAGTTGACTCCAGTTAGATATAAAAAAAATAAATAGCATTAATGTACTATTTAAACATAACGTAAAACACTAAAATCTTTTTGATATTATTTTAACGTTACGTTATATTATTAAACTTTAAATTAATACTTTTTCAGCAGTTAAATCATATATGTTTTAAAAGCACTAAATTAACAGCATACTTCTCCTTTTTCGGAAACTAAATTACATTCTAATCCATCAACTTCTGAAATTTAAAAGGACATGTAAATATTTTTTACTATCATATTAACACGGAATATTATAGTTAAAAATATATAATCTATTATTTTTAATTAAATTTCACCAATTTGTTATTACTTTTTATTGTCTTTTAAATTAGTGACAATGTGAAAGTGTTTTCATTTTAACATTTCTATACAAAAAAGAATTTTCTATATCAATTATTTCTTTAGTTTTAAACATTTTAAAAAAAATTAATCATTTACTTTTTTTTTACAATATATCTATATATTAAAAGGGAGTAATTAGTGGTTGTATCGTAAAGATAAAATAATCCTAAAATAAAATTTTCTTTTNTATATATATATATATATATATATATATATATATATATATATATATATATATATATACATATATATCCCGACACTTTAATGATCATCCATTCCCAAGTAGAGAGGGGCGGGTCATGTGGTGAGAGTAATAGGAAATTTTTGTCTATAGACTTTGATCATGGCCCTAGGCAATTGAAATGGACTAAGCTTGTATGATAGTTTGGTTTCAGCCAACAATATTACTATTACAAGTGCATAGACCTCCAATTGTTCGACATTCATACTGAATTCGAATGAGTCTTGTACAAGTTATGACATGTATAAGATGTTTGGATTGCTAGTTAAGATTTGAGTTGTTAATATAATATATATGAATTGTTTTGTTTATCTAGCTTATCCTTTTTGTTTATGCTTTGTTGTATGTTTTTGTACTATTTTTTTGTTCTGATAATCTGATGGGTATGGGTAGAGCGTGATGAGATATCCGTGGAACAGAAACTAGAGGATGGACAAGCAGATACTTAATTATTTAGTTGTGTTGATGCATATAGTTTTGGTTCAGATGTTGGATTGTATATAAAATTTATATTATGATTATCGTGATGATTGTATTAACTTTATATTATTTATTTGTCGACTACTTTTGCTTTATTGTTATGACTATACTATATTATTTATACTATATTTAGGATGTTATAATATATATCACATTTGTTTAATAAATAAACATAAAAGTGTGTCCTTTTAGAAACTAAAAACATGAAATTTCTTATTTATAGTAATAAAAATAATATATTCAAACCAATGTTTTTATTTATAAAATCAATATAACTTTTGTATTGTATAATATTTATACCAAAGATTATTTATTATTGATGGAGTGAATGGTCTGAGTATTACAAAATTACCATTAATATTAAATAATTTAAAGTAAAGTGTGACTCTTAATAATTGAAATGCAATTAATCGAAAAACTATTTTAAAAATTATAACTATAAACTTGAAATAAAAATAAATAAATGATTAGATTTAATACATATTAATTACTAAAACAACTAAATTTTTACTTTAATTTCGATCCCATAGCCAAAAAAAACTTTAAAATAATTAATAAAGTCCACTTATATATATAAGAAAAATAAATAGCATTAATGTACTATTTAAACATAATATAAAACATTAAAATGTTTTTGACATTAGTTTAACGTTACGTTATATTATTAAACTTTAAATTAATACTTTTTCAGCAGTTAAATCATATATGTTTTAAAAGCATTAAATTAACACCATACTTCTCCTTTTTCGGAAACTAAATTACAATTCTAATCATCAACTTCTTAAATTTAAAACAAGGACATGTAAATATTTTTCAACTATCATATTAACACGGATTATTATAGTTAAAAATATATAATCTATTATTTTTAGTTAAATTTCACCAATTTGTTATTACTTTTTATTGTCTTTTAAATTAGTGACAATGTGATCGTGTTTTCATTTTAACATTTCTATACAAAAAATAATTTTCTATATCAATTACTTCATTCGTTTTAAACATTTTAAAAATTTTTAATCATTTACTTTTTTAACAATATATCTACATATTATTAGAAGGGAGTAATTAGTGGTTGTATCGTAAAGATAGAATAATCCTGAAATAAAATTTTCTTTTTCCAATATATATATATATATATATATATTATATTTACTCTTACTTACATTGCGAATGATTAGAAAAGTATACAAATTTATACAATAAATTTGACAAAAATAATTGCAAATTTAGAGGCTAGTCGACATAAAGTTAGTTTTAATAAAAAACTAATCTAAAATTTCAATATATTTTCTTAAAATGTATTCAATATATTCTTCAAGAACTGTAGTTTTGCAAGCATTAATGTAAAAAAGAAAGTAATAAAATATTTGATATTATGGGGTTAAAATATAAAAGACGGGGAAGAAGAACATTGAAACCAACAAGGGAGTGGAAATAGCAAAACAGATGCAAAAGGCAGAATATTAGCTGGATCCACCACCACCTAAATTTCACCATGTACTTTTCAAGTATGGATCCTCTACTACAGATCTTCTCTGCATCTTTCTCCAACTCATTTATACGCCATCCGATTAATCTAACGTTCACATAAAGATGACAAGACGTGTATCTTCTTACTCTCGTTGCATCACTTTCACCTGCCACAAATTGGTAATAAAAACCATAAAGTTAATGTTCTCAAAATTTGCTAAGATGGCAAATTTTTCTTAGATGTTGGAGTATGAATGTTGTGGGTAGGCAGAATATGCTTAAATGAAAAAAAAATGCATGGCATAATTTAATACAAATTTAATCAAGGACGTTAAATTAATCCAACGGCCATGAAATGGGGGCGAGACAAATGGGTGTGTGTTGTAGAGGATCATAACCCCTGATTTCTCCCTTTTGTCATCTGATTCAGCCTTTTGTTTTCATGACACTCACTCTCTCTAGCAAATCCTCTTCTCTCTCCCTTCTCACCACTCTCTCTCTTTCTCTCTCACATCTGACAAGAGAGAGAAACAGTCACAGAAACAGGGCACATGAGAGAGATCAAGGAGCACAGCACAATGTGCAGCAGGAGTAGTAGCAGCTTCTTCTTCAGCCTCTTCCTCCTCATTGGACCAATCTTTTCCCTTTCTTCTTCAACTTCCGTCAACAGAAGAATCCTCCACCAACCCTTTCTGCCTGAAGGGGGTTCCCCACCTCCCTCTGTTCCCCCAAGCCCTCCTCCACAGCCATCTCCTTCACCTTCACCTCCAAACCCAAAGTACCCATTTTCCACCACACCCACCACCAATGCTTCCACACCCTTCTTCCCCACATACCCTTCTCCCCCACCTCCTCCCTCTCCTTCAGCCTTTGCTTCTTTCCCTGCTAACATATCCTCCCTCATCCTTCCCCAATCCTCAAAGTCCAAATCTTCCTCAAAAAAACTCGTCGCCGTCGCCATCTCCGCCGTCGCATGCGCCCTCGCAGTTGTCGCCCTCTCAGCCTTCGTCTACTGTCGCCGCCGACGTCAAAGCTACTCCGCTGACGAGAAAACACTCAGATCCGACAGCAGCATCCGCCTCTTCCCCCGTGAAGCTTCTGTTGCCACTGGCGGGGGCCGCAAACCGAGAAACACCTCCTCTACCAGCTCGGAGTTTCTCTACCTTGGCACCATTGTTAACTCCCGTGGCGGCGGTGTCGATGAGCTCTCTGAGCCGCACGTTGCTGCGTTGAACCCCCGTAAAATGGACTCGCCGGAGCTTCAGCCGCTGCCACCGCTGGCGAGACAGGCTTCCAGGCTTAGAGAGGAAACGGCGGCGACGGTGGAGGATGATGAAGAGGAGTTCTACTCGCCGAGAGGGTCGTTGAATGGAAGAGAAGGCTCCACCGGAACCGGATCGGGTTCTCGGCGAGTTTTCTCTGCCATTGCCGGAGAAAATTTAGTTGGTCGTAGCAGCAGTGAGTCTACCAGTTCATCTTACTCTTCTTCCTCTTCTGCTTCCCCGGATCGCTCTCATTCCATTAGTCTCTCTCCTCCTGTGAGCATAAGTCCCAGAAGATCACAACCCAAGTCGCCTGAAAATACCGTAGTACACCATTCTCCACCGCCACCACCAGCGGCGATTAGAAGATCGCCGTCCTTGTCCACACTGTCGTCGCCTTCGCCGGGTTTCGGGCAGCACATGCCGTCGTCGTCTTCAATGTCGTCGACGCCGGAGCGAAGGGAGTGTCAGTCGCCATCGCTGTCTCCGCTTTCTCTGTCGCCGAGGAAAAACCTAAACCCAAACCCAGGTGGTGAATCATCCCCAGGACTTGTTTTACTTGAAAAGACGCAATCTTTTGGCTCGTCTAAGTCCAAAAGCGACATTGGGTCGCCGAGATTGTCCAATGCTTCTTCCATTGGGAAGTCCTCGGCGTTTTCTTTGCCGTCGCCGGATAAAGGGATGAACTTGCATCACGGGTTGGATCAGTCTCCGACCATATCCGATGTTTCAGATCGGTTTAGACACTCTCCTCTGTCATCATTACATTTGTCACCGACATTACTTTCATCGCCGGAGAGGGAGTTGAGCCCTCCGTCTCAGCCACATCCACAGCCACAGCCAGAGCCACAGCCTCAGCCTCAGCCTCAGCCTCAGCATCAGCCTCTGCCTCAACCTCAACCTCAATCTCAACCTCAACCTCAACTGCCACCTTCACGCAAACACTGGGAGATTCCTGACTTATTGACACCAATCGGCGAAACACCGATGTTTTCAGCTCCTCAGAGGAAACAATGGGAAATTCCGGTTCTTTCGGTACCAATTGCTCCATCGAGTAGTAGTGTTTTAGCCCCTGCTCCACCACCGCCGCCGCCACCACCTCCGCCAGTTCCGCGGCAACGTAAGCAGTGGGAGATGCCAGTGCCTTCTCCCGTGACGCCAGTGGGTCAACAGGTTTCGAAGCCGCCTGCACTGACGCCTCCTTCCAGGCCTTTTGTGTTGCAAACCCCAAATACAATGGTTTCTCCGGTGGAGTTGCCACCTGTTAGTTCCCAGAATTTCGAGGAGAGCTCTGAGGAGTCATCTAAACCTAAGTTGAAGCCTTTGCATTGGGACAAAGTGAGGGCAAGCTCTGATCGTGAGATGGTGTGGGATCAGTTGAGGTCCAGCTCTTTTAAGTAAGATCTTCAACCGTCACTAACAATGTTATGTTATTGATTGTTATTGCTTTTTCCCTCTTTGTTTTCTGTCGTGCTTAGGGAATTGCTCGTTTAGCAGTTGATTTGTCATCGATGTTCATGGATTGAAGTGCTTTGGATTTGTTTTGACTGTGTAGGTTGAACGAGGAGATGATCGAAACTTTGTTTGTAGTAAATACGCCAAACCCAAAACCTAAGGACACAACTCCTCGCTCGGTTCTTGCCCCGCAAAATCAAGAGGATAGGGTGCTGGATCCTAAAAAGTCCCAGAACATTGCTATCTTGTTAAGAGCACTTAATGTGACTATAGAAGAAGTGTGTGAATCACTGTTAGAAGGTATTTTTCCTTTGGTTATGGGGTTTATGTCAACGTTTAATTTTTCTAGTTTTGTTGTAATTATTGATTGATTGTACCTCGCATAGAAAAACTTCTGTTTGAAGTGTTGTCCATTGTGGTAATATTGACACTTGTGTAAATTCTTGCTGATCTTGGCCTCTTGATGATAATCATATGGAATAAATTCTTTACCCACTCTGGACATTAAATTTTAGTTCCATGTGCAGTTGATGCTTCGGTATTTTACACAGTTGCTGGATAAAGTAGGAAGTTTTTAAAGAAAAAGAAACAGAGATATGTGGACACTAATTTAGGCAACACCTTTTTCTTTGGTATAGTAGTAGAAGTTTTGTGTGGGTCTTCATTGGGTAAGATGTGTTTGTTGCCTAAGGAAAGAAAAATATTGTACAAATGAATAGTTGTGCTTATTATTATTCCTTGAATGAAACTATGTGCTGTGCTGGATTGGTCTGCTATGATATTGCTTAAGTTCTTAAGAATCTATTTGGTTACGCTATTAATGGTCCTCCAGAATCTAATTACTCAAACAGTATACTTGTGCATTATAAATCTATGCTTTTGGTAAGTCTATTGATTTGGTATGTGGTTATCACTGTTTACCAAGTGAAGGAGGTTTCTAGGGTTTGTGTTCTCTGTCCATGTTCTTTATTTGGGAAAAACAGTTAATTATTAGTTGTCAGAGCCCTTGTTCATATGAATGTGATTTCAATGACTACAATTCATGTTACCTTGACAGGTATCACTGATACACTTGGAACCGAACTGCTTGAAAGCCTGTTGAAAATGGCACCAAGCAAGGAGGAAGAACGGAAACTGAAGGAACATAAAGACGATTCTCCAACCAAGCTTGGTCCTGCTGAGAAATTTTTGAAGGCAGTGCTTGATGTACCTTTTGCATTTAAAAGGGTGGAAGCAATGCTTTACATAGTCAATTTTGAGTCCGAAGTGGAGTATCTTAGGAAATCCTTTCAAACTTTGGAGGTATCATCGATATTTCTTCATTTCCTTCTGCATTCTTTATCTGTCTATATCTTCCCTACATACACTAACGGTCTCCAAACATGGTTCTTTCTCCAGAGGTTTCTCTTAGTACATGTCACGAGTTCTAGTTTCTTTCCATTTGCAGGCTGCCTGTGAAGAACTTCGAAACAGTAGAATGTTCTTGAAGCTTCTGGAGGCCGTGCTCAAAACCGGCAACCGGATGAACGTGGGGACGAACCGAGGCGATGCACACGCATTCAAACTCGATACACTTCTCAAGCTCGTTGATGTCAAAGGCGCAGATGGCAAAACCACTCTACTTCACTTTGTGGTACAAGAAATCATCAGAACCGAAGGCGCTCGTCTCTCAGGCGCCAACCAAACAGCGGGCGCGAATTCGAACGACGATGCCAAGTGTAGAAGGCTTGGCCTGCAAGTAGTGTCTAGTCTGAGTGCCGACCTGGCGAATGTGAAGAAGGCAGCTGCAATGGACTCTGAAGTCCTAAGCAGCGAGGTGTCGAAACTCTCGAAAGGAATGGCACACATTGCAGAGGTTTTGAAGTTGAACGAAGCAGCAGGATCAGATGAAAGCAAGCATAAGTTCAGAGAGTCAATGAACAGGTTCACAAGAATGGCTGAGGAGGAGATACTAAAAGTGCAAGCACAAGAAAGTGTGGCTTTATCCCTTGTGAAGGAGATCACGGAGTATTTCCATGGGAACTTGTCAAAGGAAGAAGCTCATCCGTTTAGAATCTTCATGGTGGTGAGAGACTTCTTAACAGTTCTTGATAGGGTGTGCAAAGAAGTTGGGATGATAAACGAGAGAACGATGGTTAGTTCTGCGCATAGATTCCCTGTCCCTGTGAATCCTATGCTTCCACAACCTCTTCCTGGTCTTGTCGGAAAGAGACAGTACAATTCCTCAGACGATGATAGTCCATCTCCTTAGCCGTTCATCACTCATCACAGTGTCACATCTTCGGCTGCATCTTCACTTAGGAAAAACCTGGAACCAGGTGATTTTGATGGGTCTGGGGGGTGCATGTATGGTCTGGCCCATTTTTTTTTTTCTTGTTAAATTGTAAAAATCCCTGTAAAAGATTTGAGTTATATATATATATTATAGATTATATAGAGTAGAAGATTTTCTTTGGGGAAAATAAGCTTTTGCCTTGTATGAATGAATAGGATATGTATTTTAAGTTTGTTATGTACAAAGCTATTCAATTGGAGATGGCAACTGCTTGCAAATCCTCTTACAGAAAACACTATATTTGTGGAACCAAACTATAAATTATAAAATAGACTCATTAAATAATAAATAAGATTTGTTAAAAAATGTGATTTTTTTGATTAATTTTAGTCAAGAATAGAGTTTATTTATAATATATGTTGTCTTTAGACCCATGGTTCTATTGCTAAATGGTATATTGTTGAGCTTGGGGCTTTACATAATTTTGTAATAATTAGTAAATTTTAAGTGATAATAAAAGGGTGAACTAAAAGATGTGTCATGAGCTTTTTTTATATTGTTTAACCACTTTATAATTCATTAACGCTAGACGTCTTATCGAAGGCTAATTTCAGAGGTTGCGTGACTTATGCTGATTATGAATTGTCACTTTTGCAGAGGACAATAAGTCACATTAACGATGTTTATTGCATAAAATTATTATTGTTAACGACAATTGAATAAGTTCAGAATCAATCTCTTTTAGGTGATGCATATCTACCATGTGCATATTTTCCTACAAAAAATATTTGTAATTTTTTTTTTTTAATTTTGAAATAGAAACTTACAACAAAGATTGTCACCCGAAATCTAATTTATTTACTTATTTAACTTTATTGATTGAACTTTCAAGATCACCAAGGTCATTTTTAAAAATTTCAGCCGGATAAAATATTCTGAAAATCTTCCATATTTGTGTAAGATTCAAAGGTAGAAATCTTTGGAAAAATTTACCGATTTTTAAGTAGATTTTCGTGTGTTTATATATATATATATATATATATGGGGTTTGCTAACGCGCTGTTTTTCAGTTGGTACATTTTAGCAATGTGTACCGGGTTTTAGTAGACAAAAATATTCCAATATATCATCGATTCTAAGTTTTAAGCTTAAGGGTATTTTAATAATTTTCATTCTCAAAACTTAAAAAAAAAAAAAAGAAACCCCCAAGCCCTTGTTCACCTCTCTCATTCCTCTCAATCATTTCTCTTTCATCTCTCTCACTCTAACCTTTTCTCTGTCATCCCTATTGTAGTCCCAATTGAAAAAATCAGAAACACCCTCCTGTCTCTGTCATCCCTACTGGAGTCTCAATTGAAAAAATCAGAAACACCCTACTGTAGCCCCAATTGAAAAAATCAGAAACACTTGCCGTTAAACAATCTTACAAAAAAATGATTTTATAATGAGTTTTGATCTTATAATTTTTGTCTCATCTAATTTTATCCAATTTTCACAAGCATGAAGGAATTGGTAATTGACCTAGAAAAAATCAGAAATACTTGTTAAACAATTTCTTACAAAAAATGATTTTATAATGAGTTTTTATTTTATAATTTTTGTCTTATCTAATTTTATCTAGAATTGGTAATTGGCCTGGAAAAAATCAGAAACGCTCGTTGTTAAACAATTTCTTACAAAAAATGACTTTATAATGAGTTTTCATTTTATAATTTTTGTCGTATATAATTTTATCTAATTTTCACAAGCATAATTGACATCCGAAAGAATTGGTAATTGGCCTGGAGGGTTTTTTTT